GATCTGGCTGACCAATATTAACAGGGGATTTAGAATCACCTCAGTTTAGGGGACTGACTGGCCACAGCCAGTGTACTGTGCACAAGTATGACTTGGTGACAGGATACTGGCCTCTGTGCAGTTATTCCACTCTCTCTCAAAATTTTAAACGTCTCAATCATGCGCCCCTCTCAATCTCCTTTGTTCCAAGGAAAACAATCCCAGTCTGTCCAACCTCTCTTTTTAACTGAAAGTCTCCAGCCCAGGCAATATTCTGGAAAATTTCCTTTGCACCGTCTCCAGTGCCAATACATCTCTCCTATACTGGGGATTCCAGAACAGCACCCAGTACTCTAGCTGTGGCCTAACTAACGTTTTATGCAGTATAAGGTTTTTGAGTAGATTTGTAGCTCGGGTTGTGGATGTTGTGGTTGGTTCGCTCATTCGCAGACATTTCATTACCCTGCTGGGTAACATCAGTGCAGCCTCCGATGAAGTGCTGTTGTGTTTTCCCACCTGGTATTTAAACTCTGGGGTCTGTTGGAGTCGATTACCTCATTTCCGGATTTAACCTCATTTCCGGTTTTTCTTTGCAGTGGTGTATATAAAGGGTCTAATTCTACGTGTTTATTGATGGCTTTCTTGGTGGAGAACCAGGCCTCTAAAAATTTCCATGCTGGTCTCTGTTTACCCTGCCTTAGGATCTTGATGTTGTCCCAACTGAGCTGGTGGTTCTCCTTATCCGTGTGAATGGAGACAAGGGAGTACTGGTCGTGTCTAACAATTAGCGAAAAAAAGACACGATTGGATTACACCCCAGAGGTCTGAAGGAGGTAGGAATCGCTGGAGCCAGGGAGGATCGCATAGGAAAAATGGCTAATGTAACACCCCAATAGAGTCCTTGGAAGAGCGTGGTAAGCGTGGTTTCATCAAGGGGAGGTCGTATCTGACAAATCTGTTAGGATTCTTTGAGGAAGTAATAAACAAGTTACACAAAGGAGAACCAGTGGGTGTGATTTATTTGGATTTCCAGAAGGCCTTTTGATAAGATGCTGCACAGGCAAGAGTCTATGGTGTCTGGGGCAAGATACTGCCGTGGCAGAATGTAGAGAGTGGGGTAAAGGGATCTATTTCAGGACTGAAGTTGTTGATTAATGGGGTTCTGGAGGGGTCCATGTTGGGACCTTGACGATTCATGTTCTAAATTCACAATCGGGATGAAGGAACTGAGGGCATTGTTGCTAAGTCTGCAGATAACACAAAGACGAGGTAGACTGCATCAAAAGCATTGCCCCCATCAAAATACCTGGTCACCTCTTCAAAAAAATTCAATCAAGTTGGTCAGATATGACCTCCCATTAACAAAACCACACTGACTATTCTTGATTAATCCCCGCCTCTCCAAATGCAGATTAATTCTGTCCCTCAGGATTGCTTCCAATAGTTTCTCCACCACCAAGGTTAGACTAATTGGCCTGTTGTTTCCTGGTTTCGGCGCGTCCTTCTCCCTTCTTGTATAATGGGACTACATTGACTGTCTTCTGGCATGTCTCCTTTGGCCACAGAGGAATTATAAGTTTTTACAATCACCCTTGCTATTTCCTCCCTTGCCTCACTCAATAACCTGGGATACTTTTCATTCAGCCTTAAGACTTATCTACTGCCAGACTGCTAGACCACCTCCTCTCTGTCTATGCCAATTTCTTTAATTGTATCACAGACTTTCTCCCTGATTTTTACACCTGTATTGTCCCCCTTACAAATGAACACTGACACAAAGTATTCATTTAGAAGTCTACCCATGTCCATTGGCTCAATATACAGATTACCGTTGTGGTCCTTAATAGGCCTTAGTCTTTCCCTCATTATCCTTTTATACTTAAAACAGCTGTAAAACAATTTGGGATTTTCCCTTTTTACCTGACATTGTCCTTCTTATCCCCTTTTAGCTCTCCTAGTTTCCTTTTTAATTTTCCATGCACTTCCTTTGCTCCGAGGGCTTCTGCTATTTTGAACCCTCACTATCTGCCACAAGCCTTTTGTTTACTCTTAGAATCATAGATTCATCCAATAATGTACATCCCTTGATATCCAGGGTTCACAGGATTTAATGCTCCCACCCTTTTTCTTTGTTGGAATATGTTGACCCTATACTCTCCATATTTTCTTCTTGAAGTATCCCACAGATTTACTTGAAAGTATCTGTTCCTAGTCCACTCTGGCCAAATCATATCTACTCGTATGAAAGTCAGCTTACCCCAATTGAGAACTTTGATCTCAGGTCAATACTTGTCCTTGTCCATTACAATCTTGAATCGAATAGAGTTACGATTGTTGTTTGCAAAATGCTCCCCCATTAATAGTTCAACAACTTGCCCAGCTTTGTTAACGAAAATTAAGTCCAGGACCACCATCTCTCATATGGGCCTTCTATATACTGGCTTAAATAGCTCTCCTGACTGCATTTAGGAATTCCACTACCTCTTAACATTTCTAATGACTACCTTAGTTAATGTTGGGGAAGTTGAAATTCCCCACTATCATTACCCTATTACCCGAAATTTGCCTACATATCGGCTCTTCTATTTCTCTCAACCTGTTTGGGGGCCCATAGTACAATCCCAGCAATGTTATTGCACCTTTTTTGGTATTTAAGTTTTATCCATATAGCTTCATTTGAGGAGCTAAGATGTCATCCCTCCGGACTGCTGAAACAGATTCCCTGATCAATATTGTGACATCTCCTCCTCTTTACCCCCATCCCGGTCTCACCTGAAATTACTGTATCCTGAAACATTGAGCTGCCAATTCTGCCCTTCTATCTCAGTGACAGCAATGTCATCATATCCCATATTTCAATTTGTGCCTTCAACTGACCTGCCTTGTTTGCCTGGCACCTAGCATTAATATAAACACCATCCAACACTTGCCAAGCTCCCTTTCCCTTAACTGGTCTCGAATTTCCACAGCTTCCCGAAATATTTGCCGTCTTTTCTAATTTTGGCCATTCACCTTACCCTGCTCAACACTGCATCTGGATCTTACCAGAAGGTGCCAAGGTAGTTCAAACATTCCCCAACAGCACTAGCAAAGCTCCTGTAAGGATGCTGGCTCCATTCCAGTTCAGGCGCAGCTCATCTACCTTGTACAAGTCCCACTGCCACGAAAACCAGTCCCAATGTTCCAGAAATCTGAAGCCCTCCCTCCTGCACTCGCTCTACAGCCACGCATTTATCTCAGGCCTAGAACTTCTCTGCAGGAGGTCCTCAGGGTAGTGTCCCAGTCCAACCATTTTCAGCTGCTTCAACAATGAACTTTTTTCCACCAAAAGGGGTCTTGATCAAATGGGCTGAGGATTGGCAGATGCAGTTTATGTGAGGTGTTGCATAAGGCAGCACTTATACAGTTAATGGTAGGGCCCTGGGAACTGTTGCCAAACTAGAGGTTTAGGTACATAATTCTTTGAAAGTTATGTTATGTCACAGATAGACAGGGTGGTAAAGAAGGTCTATGGCACACTTGCCTTCATTGTTCAGACCATTAAGTACAGGAGTTGGGACGTCATGTTGTGGTTGTGCAGGACGTTGGTGAGGCCACTTTTGGAATACTGTGTACAGTTTTGATTACTCTGCTATAGTAAAGATATTATTAAATTGGAGAGGGTGCAGAAAGGATTTACTAGGACATTACCAGGACTGGAGGATAGGCTGGGACTTATTTCACTGGAGCAGAGGCGGCTGAGGGGTCACCTTAGGGGTCTATAAAATCATGAGAGGCATAGCAAAGGTCTTTTCCACTTGGGTTGGAGAGTTGAAAACTAGGGGACATATTTTTAAGGTGAGAGGAGAAAGATTTAAAAGGGACCGGAGGAGAAACTTCTTCACGCAGAAGGTGGTTCATATGTGAAATGAACTGACAGAGGAAATGGTAGTTATGGTACAGTTACAACAATAGAAGACATTTGGACAGGTACATTAATAGGAAAGGTGTAGGGGGAGATGGCCAAACACAGGCAAATGAGATTAATTTAATTGGGAAACCTGGTTGGCACGGAGTAGACTCTATAAGTGGGGAAGTTCTCTGCTGAGGACGCAAATGTGACTCATCAGACACTGAAGCAGTCCATGTCTTCATGTAGTAAGACAACACCCAGGCTTGTGCTGACAAGTATAAAGTAACATTTGTGCCAGGCAATGACCTGCTCCAAAAAGAGAGGATTTAAATGTCAACCCGTGGTATTCAATGGTATTACCGTTACTAAATTATCAACATTATCACAATTGAGTAGAAACCTTACTGGACCAGCCATATACATCCTGCAGCTACAAGAACAGCATAGTGGAAGACAATTCTGCACTGAGTAGCTCACCTCCTGACCCCCTAAGCCTTTCACCACCTACAAGGTACAAGTCAGGAGTGTAATAGAATACTTCCCACTTGCCTGGAGGAATGCAGCTCCAAAAACACTGAGGATGACACCAAACAAGATTTAGCAGCTTACTTGGTTAGCACCATATTCACCACTGACATGTAACAGCAGCAGTGTGCACTACCTACAAGATGCGATTAAGGAAAAGCAACAACCTAGCCAGTGATCCTACATTTCACAAAATCATATGAAATTCAAGGATGACACGGTGGGTCAGTGGTTAGCACTACTGCCTCACAGCATCAGGGATCTGGGTTCAATTCCAACCTTGGGTGACTGTCTGTGTGCAGTTTGCACATTCTCCTTGTGTCTGTGTGGGTTTCCTCCAGATGCTCCAGTTTTCTCCCACAGTCCAAAGATGTGCAGGCTATTTGAATTGGCCTTGTTAAATTGCCTGTAGTGTTCAGGGATGTGTAGACTAGGTGGGTTATAGAGGGAGGTGTCTGGGTGGGATGCTCTGAGGGTTGGTGTGGACTTGTTGGGCTGAAGGGCCTGTTTCCACACTACAGGGATTCGACAAAGCAAATTTGCTAATCATTTTTCTCTGACATGCTCTTCATAGTCACATGTAATAACGCTACTGGCAAAATACCTTTCTGGATTGGCAAGCTGGTTCCCTCCAGAGAAGCTGGGCTTAGGTCCTGGTCTTGGAGTTCTGTATGGGAATGTGTTGGCATTCAAAGCAGAATCAACTGGTCGAGGTAATGGTCTCTGAGGAAAATCTAAAGGAGAATTAGACAAAACAGGTTCAGTATTGGCAAGTAGACTCGACATTCTGGAATCTAACACATACACATTCACACAGACAATTGCAATTATCTCCTTTACAAGAAGGTAGTTTTTCCCTAGTACACTAAGTAAGGAAGGATTAAGTTATCGAGTACATTAACTTGTGCTGTTTTAATATTCTGGGGTCAATTTTCCAATTAATGCTCTGTCTGAATGAAAACTTTGTGTGAAACCAATCAAATTCAACCCCTATTCACAGGGAGATTTAATCCAATGTTTTTATTTACATGTGGGAACACTCGTATTAGGAAATGTACATTTCCTATGTGAAGGTGCTGACTGTATTTCTGCTATTTGTACGGGTGGTATCTGGGTATGTCAGGATTAATGTTTGGGCCTTGATGAATTTCACAACCCCCCCCACCATATTGTTGAGGGGAGTGAACATGTGATTGAGAGACTTGGAGGGAGAATGATCATGGTTTTAGCACTGCAAGACCTAGCCACGTGGAACTTTTATAGGTCCTTAATATATAATAAACCAGACGTTGTTTGAATGTAAAAACAATTCAGCCATCACTCCACATACAGCCTGGAGGAACCCAAAACATTGAAAATTCAACTTTAAAGAAGATAAACCTGAAAAAAATAGCACCAGGACTGTAGATCTCTAAAAGACAGATGAAGACTTCCAAACCAACTCTATAGATGAAGTGGAAGCAGTGAGAGTCAGAAAAAATAAATCCACTTTCAAAGTTATCCAAACTATACCGAAGCAGCTTGTGAAGAAAATCACAATCTAGTAATCGCAGGCTGTGTGTCAGAGAACCAAGCAAGGTTTGTGAATCTGGTGAGCAGTTCTTAAAATGGATGAAAATTGATTTTAACAACACATCTGTCAGGTAGTATTGGATTGGATCCCGAACATGGGCTTAAAATAAAAACCTTGCAGTCCTGATCCAAGGTTGATGCCTTTAAAAATAGCAACTCTGAGGTAGCAAAGTAAAAAAAAACGAAGTTGCAAATATTATTGACATAATTTAGAGCAAAGTAATTTCCAACGGTTTTGCATGTTTTAAGAAATACCAATTCTAGATGAGGTATTTCTCAGGGAGAGACAGCAGTAACAGTGGGAGTCAGTGTGAGGCTGAACAGAACAGAAGTGTTTTCAGTACTGGAAGGAAAATTTAAAACTTTATATAAACTGCCTAAAAGCTGAGAAAAACAAAATTCTAAATTTGCACTAGCCAAGAGGTTCAGACATATGGAAGGACTAAATCAAGCATGAATTTGGGCACTTTGGAGAAAAGGATTCTTGTCAGTTGCTTCAAGATTAGACAGCAAGTCTGCAGCTGAACTGGTCAACACATTACTCCACAGTTACGGGAGCAGATGATGTTATTACAAAACAGGACATTAATGAGATTTTTGATAAATTTGAGAAGTCTTAAAAGCCATCGACAACTATTTCAAACTGATAAATAATAAGATTCTGAGATGGCTAAATTAATCCAAAGAGTCCAGAAATCGGGCAAATCACTAGATCCTTTTATTTATACCCTTTAAATGCTGGCTGAAATATGTGAGAATGGTGACCTAAAAGTAAACTTGAAACAAGACCACACAGTAATTGGTATTGCTGATGAATCCCTATAAGATACAATCTAAAATACAGCTCATCCCAGAAAAACAACATGATTTATAAAGCGATAGAAGGAAGGTGAAGGCCTAGTCATATTATCACTGGATTATTAACTCAGAAACTTAGTCAATATTCTGGAGACTTGAGTTTGAATCCTGCCACAACAGATGGTGAAATTTGAATTCAATGAAAAAATCTGGAGCGAAGAATCTTTCAAAGACCTTAAAACCATTTCTGATTGTCAGAAAAACTTGTCCGGCTGATTAATGTCCTTCAGGGAGGATATCTGCCATCCTCATTGTAGTGGTGGTCAGACAGGTGGACCTAATAACACAAGTTCCCTGATTGGGGTGTTAATCTGGTCCAATCAGGGAGCCCTGGCTGACAGATAAAAACAGGAGCGTTAGACATGCTGACAATCGGTGTGCTGGCTCTGAGGAAGCTGGATTAGAGTTAAGGGCTTTCCATGTCTAACTAAAGAGTGACTTGGTGACGGGATACTGGCCCTCTGTGGAGTTATTTCAGTGGCAGTGAGAGTAAAGCACGTTCCTGAAGACACTTGCTCACAAGAGTTATCTTTGAGTTGGGTAAAGCATTTCTGGCATCATGCCATTACTTGGGAAGCTTGTCTCATTTGATCCTGCCAAAGACTGGGCCAATTATGTGGAAAAAACATATTATTTTTTCCAGGCAAATGACATCGCTTTTCATCTGGCCCAATGAGTACTTCTCCTGACCAACTTGCAGACACACACCCAGCTTTTCCAATGATTAGGAGCCTAACTTCCTTTGAGGCAGATACTAAAACCTATCAAGAGTTGACAGATTTTGTTAAGGAATGTTATGACCCCAAGCCTCCTGTAGTTCCGAGATGCTATTGTTTTTACTCGGCAATTCAAGAACCTAGGGAATCTGTATCAAAATTTCTGACTGGGTTAAGATGACGAGCAGAGGCATGTGACTTTGCTTAACTCTGAGATGTTGAGAGACTGGTTGGTATGTGAAATTAATGATGTAATCATACAAAAGTGTCTACTAGCTGAAGCCCAACTAGACTCCCAACAGGATCCACAACTGGCTTTATTATTGGAAAATGTGGCAAATGGACTACATGAGTTGCAGGGAATTCTGATGGAAGTGGATAGCCTCACCAGTTCAAGCTTGGGGAACACCACTTGAGTGAACGCAATTGCATAGCCACACTTAGGACATATCCTGAACAGGGGGACTCGAGGTCAGCTCACATCAGAACCCCAAAACAAAGCCAAGCCTCGGCTAAATGGTTAAAATTTCCTTCAAGATCCAGGCTGGCAAGCCATTGTTGCTGTCAGTGTGCAGACTCGATACAGCAAACAAGTCCTACCAGGCCTAAATTGAGTAAGATAACTCATAGGTCGATATCCAGGAGACTGCACGCTTTGGAAAGTCAACCTACATCTGGTTTGAAACAATTAAATTGCTTAGCAACATCAAATCAAAACCAATCAAAATAAACATCTGGTTAAATGGTCACCTGGTTCAAATTGAGGTTGATACCAGCATGGCATGATCACTGTGACGATGCTGTGCCTTTAATAGGTTATTTTGTCCTTTTTTTTTAAAAAAAGACAGTTTTTAAGGCAAAGATGCTGACCAGTCTACCAGAGCCACTCGGCCATGGGATTTTTAAAAAAGTTTAAACAATAGAAACAGCCTGGATGGGTGTGGGTAGCTCTCACAGACCGGGATTTCTAGTTTTTAGGTTTAACCTTCAGCAGCTGCCATTGTGGACTCGAAGAAGTGGAAGTTATCTTATCCCTCTCTCAAGTGCAGCCAAAAATCGAAGGGGGGGTTCTCTTCCTGGGCTGCTAGATTACATGTGAGATAAAATCTATTTCTCCACATTTGCCTTTTTGCCAAAGGATGTGGTTGTGGGATATTGCTAGATTGGAACAGTTAATTAGTTATAGTTACCGGATCTATTATTCTATTATGTTTTCCGATAGAATTAAGTTATTCTAAACTCCTCTTTCTTTGGTTGTAATTAACTGTAGTGTTTAAAAGTCGAGCAGTTTGACCAGTCGAAATGCATCTGGAGCACAACATGTTAAATTTGCCTCTAAAATAAGAAAAAGTTAGTGTTTAGGCTACCTTTGTAAAATATTTTGAAGGGGTCTGGTCTGTTCCGTAACATCACAGAACCAGTCTTTAATAACATTTGCTCTGGACGCCAACCCTTCAGGTTTGCACAAGATCTTGGCTAGACTGAGAACCTATAGCAGAGAACTTTTACAGATTTAGGGTACAACTTCAGTTCTGATCTCTTATGAGAAGCAGCTGGTTCAATTGCTAGTGATTGTAGTAAAAGGAACAGGCCCAAGCTTAATGATGTGAAATTCATTTAAAGTGATTCACCTAGATTTGTTCAACATATTTTGATTAGAAAATGGTTGCCTGATTGAAGTACTAATTAAATACCCAGACGTTTTTCAGAAAGGTCTAAAGGACCAACAGAGGGGCCAAGGTCACCTTGTATGTTGACCAGGAAGCAATTCCTTGATTCTGCAAGGTTGCCCAGTCCCATTTGCCTTACAGACAAAATTAGAGACAGAACTCAGAAGGCTGGAAAGAGAAGGAATCATCAGACCCATCTAGTTTGCAGAATGGGCAGCACCAATCGTACTGATTTTGAAGCCTGACAGGTCGGTTTGCCTTTGTGGGGATTTTAAACAAACAGTAATCCACTTTTCACAGCCGAATAAGCGCCCAATCCCTTGCACAGAGGATTTATGTACCAAGCTGGCATGGGGGCTGTCCTTCATGAAGCTGGACATGAGCCATGCATACTTGCAATTGCGGTTGGATGACAATTTCCAGAAATATGGTACAATTAATACCCATAAGGGTTTGTACAAAATACAAGACTGCCATTTGGGGTATAGTCACCCTGCACAATTTTTCAGTGGACGATGTAGAACATTTTGTAAGGTCTACCCCAAGTCACCATTTATCTAGATGATGTGCTAATAACAGGGAAGACCAAAAGGAGTACTTGGAGAACTTGGATATAGTCCTTAAACGTTTCTCCCAGGTGGGCATTCACCTAAGAAGGGAAAAATGTGTGTCCCAGGCTCCCCAAGTGACCAACTTGGGCTATAGAGTCAACCCACTGGAAGATGAAGTGAGGCCAATCAAAGGTGCTCCGGTTCCCACTTCTGTGCCAAAGCTTAGGTCTTTCCTTGGGCTGGTAAATTATCATCAAAAGTTCATACATAACCTGGCCTCCATCCTGACACCTTTGCATCAACTCCTAAAAAAGGTCAGCCTTGGAAATGGTCATGTAATCAAGCCATAGCTTTCAGGGAAGTGAAG